TGTATATACTGTGAAGAGTACAGATTTACCCCCGCCTCAGCGCCCACTTTGTCATTTTTCGCACCCATTTCGACCGATTTCAAATGCAAATTTTAAGTAGTTTAAAATTCGTTAAGCTGTGGTCGTCCTCCGGCAGATGCACTTTCAGCAATAACTGTAACTGGTAGATCCCTTTTAGTTTTGTATGCCCTCAGTATGTGTATGGAATGGTTTCATTGTCTCAGAGGGTATTGTAACCCTTTCCAGAGATGTTTAGGCCTGCGATCGAAGCATAATTGATGACTTATTTCAACATTCTTTGTAAAGGCGCCTTACTGCTATTGTATGTGTAGTTGTTTGTTGCAAATCTACCTTTGTTTACCTTTTACTCTGCTGTTCAGAAAAATAAATGCACAACAATGTATCATAACATGCTACTTCAAACGTTATTGATTGATCTTTCTTCGTAGTTAACGGTGGTCACTATTTCCTAGTATCGGTGCTCACTCTTCAGCATCGTGTTATTGGTCCCTACAAGGTTTCATATGTTTGTTTCAGCTCATCGGCCTATTTGAACCGTGGTTTTCCAACTGAGTGCTTGCATACCCTTGGATAAATCCATCACTCTTAAAGTGCATCGGTCATCGATTAGTCGTACCATGTAACCTGTCATATGTCTCTGCCTTTTGAAACTGATGAAGGGTCCTTCATTCCTCAGTTCGTTCGAAATGGAACTTCATGATATCCTTCCGTTGCCATAGTTCGTTGCTGCACTCTTAACGGTTCTTATCTGTTTTCATTAATGCACAGGTCTAGCAACAATGTTAAAGCTATTGGCGCACTGTGATTGGATACAACGTGATTTTGATCGAAACTGATAATTTTCTATCATAAATTTAAGCTGATGCTTTCTAACGAATGTTTGGACCAAAGCAGTGGTCTGACAAGATTACCTGTCCTGAATAGATATACTCGATGACATCTGCTATTTGATTATCATTTATGTTGACTATAGGGAATGTTGTAAATTCATTTTTGAATCATTTTTGTCTTCGCTTGTTTATTCGAACTCAAACTTTAACTTTAACTCACAGTATGGCTTCAAGCATTTTTACCTCCTTTCTCAGGAGCACTATATCGTCAGCAAATCGAAGATGAGTGAGCCATCTACCGTTGATTAGAAATCCTCCAACCTAACCCACTTCGCTTTGCCGAATTCTTATCCATGGTATGCGTGATAAACAATTTTGATGATATGGTATGTCCTTGAAGGAACATCATTAGTAGCCTTGTTTTCAAGTGGGTCTTCAGACAGCTGAATGTTCGTGCTGCATCTGGTGTATACTTCTGGCAGAATTCGGGTATAACCTTCTGCTCACGAATGATTGCTTCATGCTTTACCATGTGAAATGCTTATTCATTGTCGACGAAGATCACGTAGAAAGGCCATGCCTTCTCACTACATCTCTCGAGCAGGTGATTCAATACTCAGAGGTGGTTGAGTGTCGAAAATTTTCGCTCGATCGGCTGTTGTTCGTGCAACTTCTTGCTTACACGATTTGGCAGTACTTTCAATTCTTAAACAGCTTATTCACATGTAATAGCAAACATGTAGGCATAAAATATTTCAAATCTGAGAGAATATCCGGTGTTTCGACCTGTTGGTTGCAGATGTATGGTAAGTGGCTTTGCCATGATGTCGTTTAACTTATGCCCGTCTCGTTTGAGAGAGGGCTGAAATGTTGTGCCGGGCGTAAAGCTGTCAGATTTGTCTGAGGCAAATCAGTATGAATTTCACTCGGTCAAATTTCAGTCGTTTGCTTTTGTAGATCAACAGCAGTGTTCACCCTTAAGTTGAAAAGATTGTTATAGAAACGTCTGCATACATCTTCTACCATCTTGTGCTCTGTGACTGTGACCAAAATTATTTTTAAGCTGGTAGTACATTGAAATCAAGACTCTGATTTCTTCTACATTCTTTGCACCCCTTCTCTCTTTCATCATTTGCTGCAGTCGTTCTCTTTGCTATCATTCAGTACGTTCTTTCACTTTCAGTCGTACGGTTTGCAAACGAGGCTGTGCTCAGCCAGATTCGTAGAAGTTTTTTCGAAGCAGCCCCTTGGTTGCTCCAGTTTTTTTGTTTCTACAACTTGTGCCTTCTGTTCATACTGTTTTTCATCCCTTTGAAGAAGTTGTCGTGCTCGGTCCTCAGATCATCATCGAAAGCCATGTCAGTTTTGCAAATTTTTCTAGCATATACTTCAGACAAACTTAATCATTTTTTGATTTGCATTGTTTCGTGTCTAGGACCTCCTAAGGTAAACGTCATTTCGTATGTTTTGCAGCACGGTTTTACGCCATCCTTTACCGTGCGACGCATCTTACGGGGACAAAAGGGTCACAACCTCATCTGGTCGAACCCTCTCTTTAGCAACATTTCTGCAGCACTTGTAAGACAGCAAGAAGCGGCCTCTTTTATGATAACGTATGATGCTCAACAGCCACATGAAGCTTAATCGAAATTTATTGTTGCATCTCACAGACTTTCCGAGTCTTCAGAGTTGAACTCATTATGGTTGTTATGATTGTTATCACTCGACCATATCACTAAATTAGTTATATACCTGACCAACCTATTAGATTAATACCTGGCAATACGCTATTTTGTTTTTATTAATAGTATGAAAATTGACAGAAAAAATTAGCTTATTTAGTATATTATGCAAATTGGTTTATAAGACAGTATTCCATACCTTACATTAAATGAGCTGTGATGCTCTACCTCATAGAATGATGCTGATTTTTCGACTATTCTCTCTACGCCGAATGATTGTCTTAAGCTTCGTATGGGTTTTGAAAAGTATTTGCATTTTTACAAATGGGAGTCTCTCTGAGCGAGCAAAGTATGCTTATTCTATTGTTGCTGCTGTAGCGAATTTTTCTGCTGGAATTTTATCGCTGTTTCTTTGCCTTCAGTCAGGGTTGCTCAGTGAATAGAGCATCTGACTCAAAATAGAGAGAACCTGGGTTGAAGCTCCAGTCGAGTGTGTTACCTTTCTACCTTCCGAGGGTCATAAATGAGTAACATTGCGTAGGAAGGAGACAGGAAACTATAGACTATTCTTTTTACATAGTTGCTGTCAACTCTGCCTTAGAATATAGAATAGAAAGGGAGATCGGCATTTAGACATTAACTTCGTGGAAAGTAGGACACCAGACATGACAACATCGTTAATGCGTAAGGAAGATCCACCTTTCAGTGGTTACAGAATTTCCTTCTCCATTTCCTTTGTGCGACGCAATGCGATATGCGGTTCGTCTACAAAGCTGTGACCGCCATCACATGTTGCTAGCCAAATGCGAAGGTGGATGCATGCATCTTGCGCAATTCACATTGCAAGTGATGTCATCATCTGTTAATGTGGTTGAGGGTATGGTCAGAGGATTTTTAACACTGTTTTCTCATGTAATTCACGTGAACAGCAGCTTCATTTTTTCCCTCCTTATTTTATTCACAATTTGGGCGAGTTTAGATTCGTCTGAAGGGCTTAGACTAATATTTTTGATGTTCGGTGGCTTGGAATCCCATTGGAGTCACTGTCCTTTTGTGTTTCTTGGGTAGATAAATTGATTAACGAGTACTTTT